TACAAAGGATACTTTTTACGTAATATGCAAGGATGTTTCGACTTAACTTAGTCTTTCTCAGCCTTAATCCGTAATAAAAATATAAAATATTTGTAGAGTAAAAATTACATAGTGATAAACTTAATTGGAATTGAGTTAAAAAAGGATGACTATAAAGTCACTGTGATGATTAGACATGTACGGGATGATATTCTTCAAGTTCATGATATTTTAATAACTGTTTCAAAAATGAGAAAATAGAGTTTAATAATAAAATTGTTGTGATTTTATATGTAATCAATGCGGCGCTGATTCGTATTGGTATTTTCATCGTATTTGACATAGAATTAATTATTCCATATTAATTGTTACGAAAGTTAATTGTCATTTTAAATTTTTAACAAAGTGTGAAATATAACAATTTGATAATAATTCTAATGGTAATGTTTTTAGATCCGAAAATAATTCTGCTGTATTATCAAAATAATTATAAGTATGCCCAAATTCGATGTGCAACATTACAAAAAATTGTGACATTTAACAATTAATTTAAATATTTTGCACAAATACTTCGATGGTCCAATAAAATTATTTTCAAATCTTTGTAGCCAAATTTTTATCAGAATTATTCTTTCTGTCTAATTGTAAGTGATTTTAAATAATTGCAGTAAAACAAAAAAATGCTTTTACTGACGAAGCTGTAGAGTTACATTTAATCTCGATCTTATCTTTAAAGGGATAAAAATAAACAAAAAAGGAAAACAAATCTGAAGTTATTATTAAAATAATTAGTATTTATTGTTAGTAAAGAAGTATGTCATACTCGGTACATAATTGATCTGTTTTTTTTTTTTTTCAGTTGAACTCCTTTACCGTTCATTTTTCTCCTTTCTCTCCAACATGGACAGAAAAAAAAGAAAGATGAACGGTGTAAGAAGTTTTTTCAACTGAAAAGAACAGATCTAAAAGATCAGTGTACGCAGAATCGCGTGATCAACATTAGAACTCGATTTCACAATTTAATACGATATATCTGTCTTTTACGCCCATTGAGGTACGCTTGACGGAGCTGCAAATCTGAAGGAAAAAGTACAGTGATCTGTAGTTTCGCTATCTGCAATTCGCAATAGGAAAGAAAAATAACAATGTCGGGATCTCGCAGTTGGGAATTTTAAAGACCGGGGCAAAAGGCATCGCGTTATACTAATCGAACACTTTCACGGTGAAAATCACCGTGCGCAACGGTTTCACGTGCATTCCCGTGGTAGCGTTTCGCGGCGACAAAAATGATTACAGGGGTAATAACAGGTGGGAGGTTTCGGATTTTTTTTTTTTTTTTAGAGAACTATGTAAGCGATTCGTAACTTCCGCCGCCGGCCGGGGCGGCGGGTGGCACTGCGTGAACGTGAACTTCACACTGTCGTGCACGCAAGAAGTATACTTTCACTTCTGGTGGATCCACGCGACGTAGAGCCAATGACCTACTAACACATCGAACCGTTCATCTTCATTGCCACGATTGGCGGTGGCCCGGCAAGGCCGTCCACCAAGATTATTTAATGAACAATTATATCCGTCCACTCTTGTTTTCTTTTTGGCATTTCTAACGCTACGAAAACTGACCTCTATTCGTCTACGTCCAACTTATGCTAACGAAATCAATGTTTGGAAAAATCTATTCGATACAGGTAGATATACTTTCGTGCTTATGATAAGATTTAAAAAAATAAAAATTAATTATTTATGAAAAAGCTAGCGAACTAATATTGTAATTACATAAGCGATTGAAAAAAATGGAAATTTACCAGTTTCAAGTTCTAGAGACGTTAATTATGAGGAAGCCTTATTAAAGTGTTACTAGCCCGTCGTTTTCTCTCACTAATGCCGCTCGTGGGTGATAATTTCATTCGGCAGAGATGCTGATGGATTTAAGCACGTTTGGTAAATCTTTCTCATGTATAAGTGGCATGATCTTTTGGTTCCGGGTGAACTTCTTTACTTTCACTCGTTACGGAGGATCGTGACGCAAACTGGATTTTGTCCCAACCAGTCAAGAGGAATTCAGGGCCACGTGGAAGTTGTTTTCGAGTTTGTTTCGTCCGCCTTCAAGCATTGCCGCATAAAGAGCTCCCTATGTATTTATGTCAACCCTTAAATCATGGATATGGAATTTAATTAAAAGAAATGATTGTCAAATATTGAAGAGACTTCTCGTTACGAGCGATTCTAGATTATACGTTTAATAAGCTGTTAATAAAAAGAGGTGTCAGCAGATAAAGCCTCTAAAAATTCTTATCCTCTAATCTAAAAAGAAAACGACAATAATAATAATAATAAAATGCAAATACTAATGTAAATATTATAATAATAATATAATGCAAATACTAATCAACATGTCGAATAGATGCTACGTTCTCTACTTTTACGTTACTTTTATCGTTTTATAAACGGGAGCAATGATCACGAATAGCCAAAAGAAAGTTCTTGGATTTACCGCAAAATCGCTACCAATAATTGCAGTGGTACGAATAGCGCGGCGTTCCTTGACGTCTGACCAGAATCTTCGACGATTCTACTTGACTGCGAGTCCGAGCGATGCGCATTTCCTTTCGCTAGGAATCAGGCGTTCTAATATGGCGTTCGATAGTGATTAACGACTCGTGAAACTCCAGGAGAAAATCAGCGTGAATTGAGTAGTGTCAGATTGTCTAAGATCCAAGTATTAGCACATAGAAAGACCGCTCGGATTAATCATCTCGTCTTATCTGATACACATTTAGAAAAGAAAGTATAGCTTGTGTTACAAAACTGTATATAATATATACAGTGTTGTGCATAGATGATTTTAAAATTAGCTAGATAGACATAAGATAAAAATTTGGACATTTATCTCAGATAAGATAAAGATGATTACATTTGAATTAATCTAGATAATATAGATAAATTTATCTGACAATTCATTTGAAAAATTTTTAATAATTTTTTTATTTTTAAGATTATTTATTCGTTTTTAAATTAAGAATCAGTTTCTTCTTAAAATAATTAAAAAATATTAAATTTAACAATTTTAATATATAATAACTTGTTTGTCTCTTACAATGTCTCTTATAATTTTTACAAAAAAAATAATGAAGAATCATATCAAAATTCTATACAGTTCTTTTCCTTTATATTAGTTGCATAAAAGCAAGCATGTCTCATAATCGTTACGGTTGTGAATTATACGTTGTATTATGAATAATAGAGAGTACCTTATAACATTAATAACAACATTCTTTTAAACATAGTGAAAGACACAGATCAAAAACTTTTAATGATTTCGGAGTAGTGTCGTCCATGAATCGAGCATTGCGCGCTACGACAAAAAAAACAACATAAGATAGTATATCTTATTGTTACAATAATCGTTTTGTAAATAACAATTTACACTGTGTATTATACGAGGGGAAATCAGAAAGTGAAGTGAACTTATTAATTTTGTTTGTATAATGCACGCTAGCAAAATATATGTATACAGCATTATTTCTCAATACAATCGCCCAGTCTAATAATGTACAATGTACTCCTCGCTACTTGTGTCTTGCTTTTTATTTTTTACTTTATGCCTTTATTTTTTCTGTTGTTTAATATAAAAATGGACGAACTTCGGAAGTTACAAGCAACACGTGACAAAAAACACGATTGTCGATAAAATGCTTAGAAAGAGAGAAAAAGGCAATGTGTAAAATGAAAGAAATAGGAAGTAAAAAGCACATTGTAGATCAGGCTTTACAACACATTTTGTATAACCGTTTACAAGTCTTCTTATATCACCTATCAAGAAAATTTTTGGTTGCTCTCGAAACCACATATGCACTGCTTCTTAATCCTAAGATAATTAAAACTTGAACTTCATCTACGTCCAGCTTCTAGTCCTGCTCTTGCTATTGCTAATTTTTATTTATTTAGGCCATTAAAGGAAAAGTTCCAGTCGATGGTATGCCAGTGACAAGTTTATTTGCTTTATATATAGCTCGGTTCTATAATATCAAAGATTAATTTTAATTTACTCATCTTTAAATTATTTTGTACGACCCCATATAATTGTCAAATATCTCACACAGGCGTATAAGGTAGGCTTTCATTACAATGCAATGCCTTATTGATGAGTCCAGTAGTGGAAGCTGGGACAAAACGCCAAAAACTATGTGATATTTTTCGCAATATATAAAGAATAAATTAAAGATCTAATTATTTACGGAATTTTAATTTATCATCTTTATATTTAATATATAATTAATCAAGTAAAATTTGTGATATTACTACTGTAGTATTTATGCGTTATGTCTGAAAGTTATCAGCGCGCAATTATGGGGGACTACATACGTATAGTTTATAAAAATCACGCAAAATTATAATAAGCACTTTGATCCAGCTTTGACCGTTATAAGCTGTACTTCTTTCTCTTTGTTTGTTACTCATCTTTTTTTTAGACTTATTGACCGAGATTTAAATTGATTTTAAATTGACGGAACCAGAAAAAAAGATAAATAGTAAATTAGAGCTTAGGAGAAACAGTATATATGCGTGACTTCGAGAACAATTAAAAATCTTCGCAGATAAAATTCGAAGACTATAGACTGTCACATAAAATTCATTGCAAAGCTGGGCGGTTATGTTGAGATATGACATTGTGTGTATGTACTAAAATAAGGGGGATAAATGAATTTACTTTACTTTTTAATTTCCCCTCGTATACAATCTTTTAATTTTTTAAAAGTAGCGAAATCGGTGTTGTGAAGAAATTTATTAATTTTATCTCGTTGCAATTGCCAGAGGACGAGATCGCTTGCATCTTTCGAGGAAATGGAAAATGGAAGAAAGTCGATGAGCAGATTGGACAATTGAAATAAATTCAAGTGAATGCGCGAATTTCTAAATTGAACACACACCATTTGCGGAAACCAATTGTCAATAAACGGAGTCGTCTAGTGAACTTTGAGTACTTGATCTCTGCTAATTTCTAATCATTCAATAAAACGATGGGTGCATCGAGGCCGCGTCATTGGCTTTTCGCAGCAGTCGTCCTGAGTCTCTTCTCGAGCTTGATGGCGAGCGAAGTACAACAATTCACGAATTCGGATTCCTCGTTTGTCGATATGCAAACAGATGAAACCAATCGTACTGAGATGATGGCAATCCGCCGGCGAAGATACGTGCGAATGGGGTCTACTTATTTCCTCGAGGCCAATTCAACGCCAAATGGCAGGAATTTTGGACCGTATCCGACCACGCGTTTTATTACGCAGGCTCCATTCCCGTGGAAGCAACACAAGTCCTTCTGGAGAACTCCTGCCGATTACAACAGGCCGGTAATGTCTCATCGGACACCACGACTGATATTCCGCGACAACGATTTCCTGCCGCCGGTCGGAGGCGGCGGCGGGACTTCCTTTTTCCAGCACACCAATCAATTACCAGATTTCGAAGACGATATCAGAGGTAAGACATCCATTTTTTTTTTTTGGAGTAACACTAATGTGTATTACAGCTACAAAAAACCTACATTTTTTATTTGTGGATTAACATTATACATTCAACAGCAAAATTAAAACATTACTTATCCTGCTCCTCCTCCAAAATAGGCAAATTTCAAAAGAGTATGACTTCGTCAAAAATTAAAAAATAATAAACCTTCCAGGTCAAGACAAATTGAGGTATACTGGTTGTTAGATATATATATATATATATATATCTTTAATTTTTGAAATTTATTTGAGCGGATATTGATTCAATTTAATTCGTCAGAAATGATCGTAAAAGAATTTTTAAAAAGCATTCTAAAGCTTGAAATCTCTACTTTCGAAAATGGTAATTGATATTTCGATTTGATTAATTCTATACAAAGTTATGCGGACACAAATGGAAGTGCGACAAATATCAAAAATTTTTACTAATTTTGAGAAGTTTTATTAATTTTTTTTTGTTGAGCTCTGTACGATTTTTTTTCACCGAGTTAATCAAGCAAAAAGGATCACTTTTGCTTCAATGTGAAATCTCGGTGAAAAAAAATCGTACAGAGCTCAATAAAAAAATAAATTAAAGGTAAAGATTCACGCTTTCGAATGCTGTAAACCGAATTTTTATGCAATTTTTTATTTAGGCTATAAAACTTCTCAAAGTTAGTAAAAATTTTTCAGATTTGACGCACTTTCATTTGTGTCCGCATAACTTCGTAAAGAATATTCATCAAATATTCAATCAAATCAAAATATCAATCACCATTTTCGAAAGTAGAGACTTCTGTCAATATATAATTTTTTATCTTTCCACTACAGTGTTTCACGAAGTTCGCATAGAACATTTAAAAATAAAGATGTTAAAGTTTTCATTTATATAAAAAAATTATGCAAAATTATTTTTTGTTGTTCAAAGAATGGAATTTCTGAAGTGTCACAATTAAATTTATACAAAACAATATAAAAAATTTTACTATTAAAATTTGATATAGATATCCCATGCATTAAAAGTGCGCAAAAAGGCTAAAATAAATATTTATAACTAAAAATTATACGAATACAGCTTTTTTTTTCTTCTATTTCTATTATAATTCCTTAGAGTATAAACTGTAAATTGTATATTATTTCTAATATTTAAACGGTTCAGGTTCGTGTTAAATACATGTTCCCGATGATTCAAATACATTATCAGAAATTATGGGTTACACACGTATATTATTAGATATATTGCAGCCTTTCATATAAGTCTGTATTTATCGTTACTCGTTATTCTGTGAATGCATAATAAATAACTTTTCCCTTCTACTTTCTTCCTTTTCTTTATGCGCTCGCGTAATTTCGTCGTTTCTGATAATTCAATTTATTGTGCAAACAGTGCTTCATCAACTGACTATTTACAGAAGCATATAAGTACAAATATGCGTTACATGAAACTTTGAAAACATTTCAATTATAAATGAACCGACAGTTATCTCTGTGATCGAATGAACAATAATAACTCGCAAGTGTAGAATGTATAATACTTGCAGTGCAACAAGTTACGACAAATACTAATTTATCATTATAAATTGTGTTTATAAACCGTGTGTATAAAACTGACATACGGTATTTCATCTTAAACAATATAAAATTAAATAGGTAATCTTAAACAACTATGTGAGAATATAGAATCAATTAATTCTCATATTAAATTCTTTTCTCTTCTAATTTTAAATAATTTAATATTGTTTTAATTGCCTAGAGATTTTTATGCATTTTTTTTCAAGATCAAAATTGAACGATATTTCTTTTCACAGGAAAAGATTTTTTTTCTTTTGTTTTACGCTTTTCCAGAATAGCATCTTTATTTCAGATCTCCGAAAACAGACGCCGGATGATTACCCTAGATTGGAAACAGGTACGTGCAACTTGTCAGCGGAATTATAAAATTCGATATTTAGCCGTAACGATGTTATTTTAGGGAATTTTCAATTCTTTCCGAGTTCGTGATTTCTTCGTAGTTGATCGCCCCAATGACTTCGTCCTCTCGCGTAAACTCATTAAAATCGGACGATTAGTCGCGCAATGTCCTACTTCTTAATGGCGCGCAAAACTTATTTCCATTACAGTCAACGACTTCCGTCGTGGTTCAAGATACGGAAATCGTTACGACATCGTCGACGTCGCGCTTTGCCGCCGGACGGTAGATCGTTGTCACGCTGAACTGGTACGAGGTCCTTTTACAATTGCCCAAATATTTCTCTATAGAAAGTCTGTTGGAGAAACAGTTAATATTACCATGTCGATGCTTTTTCTATCAATCGCACTTGTTACCTTGAACAGTCTTAGCCTAACAGATTTCAATAAGATTTCATCGTTAAATTGCCGTTTAATAGTACTTTGTTTTAGACAAATTATCATAAAATTAAATTAAAATATAATTCTATGATGTATAATTAATTCACACACGTGATAATTTTACGAACTATATAATACATACTATTAAATTGTATATAAATCACACTTATAAAAGACGCGATAATCTCTCATGCTTATAATATAATAAATTAACACGACTTGATAAATAAAAATTAACATTTATTGGAATTAAAGACTAATGAGAGAGGGCTAACGAGAGTTAATTGCGGTAATTTGTGCGAATATAAAACTAATTTATTAAAATATAATACTTATAAATATTAATCAGACCTTTCGGATTCAATTCGAGCCATCTTCAGTGTTCTGATAATAATATTAATACAAATTGAAGTAATCTGAACTCGAGAAAGTGGCAAATCCATCCTTCTTCACTCCGTACGACACAGGAGTAATTGGTCTTATATCAATGAATAAGAAAGTTCCCCTCAGCCATATTTTCTTATTCATTTGACATCAGATCAAATCGCTCCTGTGTTATACTGAGTGAACGGATAACAGTAGAATTCTACTGTGGAATTTTCTTATTCATTGACATCAGATCAAATCACTCCTTTGTCATACTGAGTGAACGGATAACAGTAGAATTCTACTGTTATCCGTTCAGATGTAAGATACACACATCATATTTTTACGATCACATCTTGACATCTTGATGTAATTTATAATTAATTTTAATTATCTTTCATGGCTAAGCGGAATCTTTTTATTCTTCATTGATATTAGTCCAATCACTCCTGTGTCATACTGAGTGAAGAAGGATGGATTTGCCACTCTCTCGAGTTCAAGATGACTTCAATTTGTATTAATGTTATTATCAGAACATTGAAGATGGCTCGAATTGAAACCGAAACGTCTGATTGATATTCATAAGTACTATATTTTAATAAATTATTTTTTCATATTCGCACAAACTACCGCAATTAACTCTCATTAGCTCATTTTTTATTCTAATTTGACATTCTCGAGAGTTCTAATTTTTATATTGTTTTATGTTTATTTATTAACATTTATTTATATTAATTATTAATAAAAATAGTTAACATTTATAATATGTTGAATTAACACTCATTTTATTTATTTATATTAAAATTTACGTTTTATAATACATCATTTTTATATTATGTTTACTTACTTATTAATTGTGTTGTTTTGACTAAAAACTATTGAACATTAATTTAACACAAAATATTCAAATAACACAATCACATTATCTTAAATTAACGCTCGGATATGTTAAAAATTGTATATAACGATTATAAGAAGGACTGGTTTTAACAAATACAAAAAATTTTTTTACTATGTATGTTCATACTTCATACTATTAACCCTGGATTTGTAACTTGCGGCAGTTTCATGTTTCGAAGTTAGACTTGGAGTAATCAGTGAGAGAGATAAAAACGGCGGTTTTTATTTTCTTTGAAATTACTTGGTAATTGTATTGAGCATCAATAATTAAGTATCGAAAAATTAATTGACCTATAAATAGTTTCAACTTCTCGCACTATTAGGACCACTATGTGTGTTTCAAACTGTTAATATGTGGCTGTCACAATTGTATCTATTAATAAGTTTTCTGTTTTAATCGCGAGTGAGTGAGAGAGAGAGAGAGAGAGAGAGAGAGAGAGAGAGAGAGAGAGAGAGAGAGAGGAATCGCGTTTGTCGAAATCTCTCCCTCATTCCTGATGCCAGTTTGACATAGTCATATAGATTGAGATTAGATTAGTAACCGTAATGACGTTTTTTCGCAAACCTGTTCGGACGTTTTCTTCTTCGACTGGACTGAAATTGCGATCGCGTATAGTCTCGACAGTCGCTCAAGGTTACGTAACTTGACAGTCGCGGAAGACAAGAGTTTCCATATTTTCTGCAGAGATGCGTCAACAAAAAAGACCACTGTGGAAAGGCGACGATACATTGTGCGCGGACGGACGGAGCTGCGAATTTTTTCTAATGTGCTGGATGACTGCTGGCCTATTGGACGGCAGCTGCGGTGGCATTATGTACGTGTGTTGTCAGCGGAAAGATCATAAAGCTCTCACTGATTATAACCTGATCGAGTCACCTAGAGATCAATCTCGGCCACTTCCGCTGGATTTGTACACGGAGACCGACAGCGACGATCGTAAGTCCTTCCTTCGAAGAGCATGCCATCCGTATTTTAGCACCGCACTTGAAAGCATGAGATACCCATAGACTTCTGTATATTATAACCGCTAACACATAGAATTCAATAAAATGTAAAGCTGATAGCCATATATTTACTGTAAATATGCACTGTGCACTAAGAATATGCGAATTAAATAAAAAAATAATAGATATTGTTGATTTTAAATGAAAAAATTAAAAAGTAGCTATGACGTGTTGCACATACTTGGTAGTATGTTAAACTTTTATATCTCTTGTGTATGATTTCTATTTCACATGAAATATGGTGACACGATCAATAAAAAGACCGCTGTTCATTCAATTATATAGGAACAATGATATCCCAACCCGTTGAATTAAATAACATCTCGTTGTTTTAAAAGTTTCCATATCGGAAATGTAAACCAATTTATTTTCTACTTAATTTTAAAGTAGACATCCACAAATAACATGCATACAGTTACTACATAATAAACTTTTGAGCCAAATTTAATTTTCTGAGTTAAATTATAACTCGTTTGTTTTAGTTAACAACATATTGTATTATAGGTTCTGTGGCAACTTGTATGTACATAGAAATAATTAAAAGTGACTCAAATTGGATATAAATTGACATTATGAATTTAATAGTAGTGTAATAATATATAGAAGTTTGTACATTTACCTTGTTTCTTCAGTCTTCCTTCTTTCTCTTGTTCTTTTTCTAATTTCCTCTCGGTAATTTTTGTCAATTATATCACTCCACATGTTTGCGTTTATTTCAAGCATGCAGTTCCATTTCTTCGCTGTTTACTTTTAAAAAATGCACAGTTTCCTTACCGGATGTCTTCCATTTGTCTTAGGTTCTTTTTTTCCTTTTTAATGTCGTCATATAGATCTTTTATTTATCGACACGTATTTAACGTTTCTTTTCTCGATCTGCATATATCATATGTGATGTACAATTCAAGCATGTTAATCAAAAAGATTCTGTCCTTCATATGCATGTTTACCTAAAAATCATTATTCGGTATTGTAACATTGTGTTTTTTCCACATGATTATCCATCTGAATTCCAGTAAATGCTTGATGTTAACGATCGTCTCCTTGATCTCGATCCCTTTGAATTTTTCACCGAAATAAAAACAGTCTTGTCGAAAGCAAGTGTTCGCTTGAACAAAGAAGTGTAATTCCTGTTGAATTAATGAATACGCAGTAGAAATCGTAGGTCACTTCTTTCTTACAAAGGAATAGTATAAATTCTTGAAATTTGTAGAAAGCGCAGCAGGGGAATGGATATATAGATATCATAGCAGCTGTCGTCGTTCGCGGATTAATTTTCTAAGTGAAAACGCGATTTTTCTATATCGCTATCGGCTCATAAAACTTTGACGATATATGCTTCGTCTCCTTTCTTAATATTCGATATAACACTTCGTTGCAACCATTTTTCGTAAGGAATCAATACAATGCGATGTACTAATAAACAAATGAAGTTCGCGACTAATTGAAAGATATCTTTGTAATATCCTTTGCAATTCCAGAAAGGTAATCTATAATAAATCTAAAAGATTTTTTTTAACTCTTCTGTAATTCAAATTGTATTGGAATAAAATTAACAGATTTTCATTATTTTTAAAATTAACAGAATTTTAGAATTTGTATTCTTCTCAAAGCACTGTGATTCAAGAAATAATTATGTTATACGTTTACATGTACACAAAAATAATTATAGTAATAATTGTCAAGGGCGTAATTTCAAGCTGTTGATTTTATACTGTATATTTGATAATTATTTCATGTTGCAATTTTAATTTTAATGAATTATAAATATTATTAAATTATTGAGTAGTGTATTATTTATAAAAGATATGATAATCTAAAATAAAAAATGTATATATCTTTAAATTTTCTAAAATTATGTTCTTCAAATGGTGCAAATTTAATTAGAAATATGATTTTTAATTACACATATCAATGAACACGTGTTCTTTAATCAAAATTATTTTTATTACAGTCCTTAGGCTTCGAACAATCATGAATAATGTTATTATTTATCTGTCAGGCGATGTTTGACTAAGAGAGTACACTACGAGTTACTTGATTATCGTCAAAATTACTTGTTAGTCACATGCAATACAAACTAGGATTCGACATTAAAATCTGACAGAAGGAGTTATTAAAGAATTATCGCATTACTCCAAGTCCAATTTCGGCAAGAGAAGAAACATTTTTATCGCGATCAATTACACTGTGTGACCACAAAAATTTTCCAAAGGGCGCGTGGGTTTGGTTATGTCGTGGGCATGGTCCACTACCATTTCTCCAAGGGATTTGGCAAAGTTAGATCGTACAAAAATGGGGAATCAATTTATAGTTATGAATTTTGAGGAATACAGGTAGCGCGATTTGAGGTCAAATATATATGATAACAAATATACGCACATGTTAATATTTTTTTCATCACGCGTGCACGTAATATGCCCTATACCTTAACGCTTTTGCATGCGGTAAATAGCCAATACCTCAAGCCGTTGAGTTATTTCTCTAATCCCACTCTTCTGCGCAAAAACGTTGCTGTATAGGGCACATTACGACGAGCACTTGTAATGAAAAATTCTATGTGTAGCGAGTGGGGGCATATTTGTTTATAGGTCGGCACGGGCACTCGTGCGCTCGTGCCCGGCCGCGCAATAAACAAATATCCTCCACTGTTACACTATGTACTATTAAATTTATTCAGCAATTGACCAGCAAAAATCAGAAATCATGGAAAGTAGAGATTTTCCTTTGTATCGACATTCCATCTGCATGATTTGTTGATGAAATTTTTCACCTTGTTCGTCTGACTCTGTAGCAAGCTGCTTTTCAAAGAATTGAAAGTGGTGATGTAAAAAATGGATTTTCAATGACATATGAACGCCGATATTCTTAAAAGCGGTCATCATATCATCTACTAATATACGGTAGTTTTCAACTTGATGTTTCCCGAGAAAATTTGAAATCACAATTAACATTCTTACGTTTATCTAACGCGTTATAAAGTGATACTGGTGCGTGCGAAAGTTTTGATGCCTGATATGAAATGAACACATATATTTACTATCTAGGATCTGTGAAGCTGGCACGACATTCTATCGATATCAAAAAAATTACAACAGTTCCAGTAGCACTTTTCATAGTTCTACAGTTCTACCTCGAAATAAAAAATAGTTCCGCAGTTTTAATATGAAAAGTCTAAAATTGAAAATATGGCGTGCTAACTACGCGAATCTGGCACGTCAGATTTCCTCTAAAGTACGAGAAAGAAATTAATATTTGCACTTTTAGCAACAGTTCCCGATAGTTCTACTAAAAACCAACTAAGATATGCATTTTCAAAATAGAATAACAACATTTAACAATTTTTATACATCCTATATATAGAAAATGGCATAAAACTTCTAGAAAAAGTGACGTGCTGACTATTTCTATCAGTTTCAACGGCAGTTCTCATTAGTTCTCACAGAGTTCTATGCAATGCGATCATTTATAAGCAGAGTTCCGGCCTCTACATATTTTTCATCAATTTTTTAATACCTGAGTCCAGCACGACACTTGTAGAAAAAGTGACTTTTTCACCATGAGAATAGCGCAACTGGTACTCCTCGAAATTAATAACTTCAAATTTATGCCCCATTCTTCTACGATCTAACTTTACCAAATCTCTTGGGAAAATGATAGTGGGCCGTGTTCCCGACACAATCAAACCCACGCGCCCTTTGGAAAATTTTAAAAGTTGAAATCGGTCACACAGTGTTATTACATATTATATGTAGTTTCGATAGTTTGCGGCTCGATTCTAAAGGCGTTGATTGTCATAGGACTATATTTAAGCGTCATTGCGCGTTACTGTAATTAAATTACAGGTTGTGGTAGATAGAATTGCCAGCTGTTCTGTGCACACAGAATAATTCAGGATTCTCACTGTTTTGTTTGTCGTAAAAAGATAGCGTCTCGCTCAACTGCGTTGCATACATATTATTCTAATTGCTACTATATAAGAGTTCTGTCGTTATTCCGGAATTAATTTACCTGACACCTGCTGTCTATTTCAGAAGGGAAAATTTGGCAACTCTAGCGCAAATCTTCACGCCAAATAATTAGACCTGACAACCAAGCTATAATTTTAACGGCGTCACTTTAATTGCACGCGAATCCAGGCAATTGCGTTTTGCAGGTTGTGGCATACCGATGGTCTCGAAACAAATCGCGCAGAGGAGGATCGTCGGCGGTGACGACGCCGGCTTCGGCAGTTTCCCGTGGCAGGTCAGATACGAGTACAATGCGAGACACCTAAAGCGTAATGCACGATTGAAAAAAGTACAGAAACAGGAAATAATAAATTTCACTCTAACAGAAATGTGTATACTCTATAGATGTACTGTTTCTAATAGGTTGAAAACTGTTATTCTCCGCAGTTCTTTTTGCCTGTATTTTTTAATTATGTATTAGGCTTTAGTTTTTTGATGAAACTTATCGATAAAACTGTTTCTTGTTTTGACAGGCTTACATACGGATTGGTTCTAGCAGATGTGGTGGCACTTTGGTCAATCGATTTCACGTTGTCACCGCTGGACATTGCGTTGCAAAGTAAGTGGGCATAATCTGCATACGAATAGCTTATTAACGGAATTCCATTTGAGTTCTTTTTGGCGAGAACGAAAGAAAGGCTTGTATAATTTTAAAATAATTACGTTTTAAATACAAACATCGTTATTAATTAGAATACTTAATAAATTTTTCGAATGTTAGAGCGTCGGCACGACAAGTCCAGGTTACTCTCGGCGATTATATTGTAAATTCCGCGACCGAACCTCTGCCAGCTTATACTTTTGGAGTTCGGGAAATCAGAGTGCATCCTTATTTCAAATTCACGCCACAAGCGGACAGGTGTGTTCACGTATATTACTAAGAACATCTCATATGAATATCTCGAATACACAGTCGTGAACGCTAAATAGAATGAACTCTATTAATTGACGTCTTCCATATTTCGTGATTATCAGATTTGATGTGGCAGTGCTTCGGTTGGATCGACCAGTTCATTACATGCCACATATATCACCTATATGTCTACCGGAGAAAAACGAAGATTTTCTAGGGCAATACGGCTGGGCTGCGGGATGGGGTGCTTTACAAGCAGGTACAACTTTGTGAAAAAATTATTTCATTTATCGATTATAATTTTAAACATACTTTTCATTTCTTGTCTTATAAATTCCGGATTAAAATTTTTTAGTTACTGGAATAAATTTCTTGCTTATTATTAACATAATAAGAATTGTGCCTTCATGAAAAAAAGTTCTCTTGTTTTTTAATGTGATATACTTTATATTTCTGAAGATTTCTGAAGAAATATCTTACATTTTCTCAAAGCTTTTACAATTTTTATTTCAAAAATTATAGAATGAGAAACCTTATAATTTTAAAATATTGCAGAATTATAAATATGTATAACAGAAAAGATTCTAAAAAAGAATTTTGATTTTCTCAGTATTTCTGAAAAGTAGTCCAATTAAAAAAATTTGAGAAATTCTAGAAAGTTATAAAATTATACGGAAATTATGAAAAACAATTATGAAATTTATCAAGAATTTTAGGAAAAAATTTTACACAGTGACTTGCATACATATTCGAAGATAGAAATAAAATATTCCACACTCAACTCTACATTAATTTACTATAAAAATTTCATTAATATCTTGTTATTTTCTTTTGTCAATTGTTTATCGTTATACGAATTATTTTATTTAGACAATATCAAATCTTATAGAACCGCGAGAATTCAAACCGATGCGATGAGAACATACCGTAGCGATTTAAACTGGATCTCGGGTGCTTCTATATAATTGTGTGTGAATATTTTTATATACTACGTATGTAGATTTTATTTTATTTAGGTTCTAGATTACGACCAAAAACGTTGCAAGCGGTAGACGTACCCGTGATCGATAATCGCCTTTGTGAGCGATGGCATCGTTCCAATGGCATCAACGTTGTTATTTATGACGAGATGATGTGTGCCGGTTACCGCAACGGCGGTAAGGATTCGTGTCAGGTAAGCGCTGTCGTCATCATAGGTGCGTACTGTTTGAACGATTCATCAAACAATAAAAATTGTTTCATTTCCTTCTCCTTCATCTCTCGTTTCTTCTTCGCTAACACGTTTTCTCAGGAGTACATTTTATTTTCAGGGTGACAGCGGAGGTCCATTGATGTTGGAGAAAAGTGGTCGCTGGTACCTCATTGGAATTGTATCCGCTGGTTACTCTTGCGCACAGCCAGGGCAACCAGGGATTTATCATCGAGTGGCTAAGACAGTTGACTGGATTACGTATATTATAAATACGTAACAATTCTCCTGGACCGAAAAACAACTAGAAGAAAAGGTTTTGAGCCGCGAACTTTGTATGACACAAAGTTCGTGCATCCTTGATATCGAAGAATATTTTCAAGGATTAATCGAAGTGTGGAGCTCACCACATACTTCATATAAGTTGCCGGCCATGTATGTATTGTATATAGATATTGTCGTAAATCTATATGTACGTCATAAATTTAAGTTGCTTTCCATTTACTTCGATTCTCTGATAATTCTCACTTGTGACGATATAACTCATTGTCAGTTGAATCTGCGTTCCCTTTGCATTCTGAGAAGTGAGATTCAATTGAGTTTTACTTACAAACCGCATCAAGACCGTGTGCTTTATTGAGTCACTTTAAAAGTGAGATTATAAACTTGTGTTGTTATTTGTTAATTTTACCAAAGTAAGCAAATAGTGACGTCATTAATCTGAGTATTTTATACTCAGCTCACTTCAGACTCAGTTTCACTTGTGTGTAAATGGAAAGCAACTATTGTCGTAAATCTAAATGTATTATATGTCATAGATATTGTCGTAATAAAGGATTTCATGTTTACAAAAATATATTTTCAAAAGTGAATAATGGCTCCCTACAGAGAAAATTACAGTGTTATATAATTATATCTATTTACATAAGTAGGCGATGTGTTTTAATTTTTACAATGTGAATGTATTGTAAATTAAGTGTGTATGATATACGTATGAATTTGCGCTTAATAAATACTTTGTTTTTGATTTTATTACTGAAAGATTGATTTTTTTTTCTTTCCAGTATACGCCATAGTAACATTAGTTTATATTATTTTTTCAATTAATCTTAATTTTAATCTTAATATTAATATTAATTTTAATTTTAATATTAATATTAATCTTAACCTTAATCTTAACTTTAATCTTAATATTAATTTTAATCTTAATATTTTTCTTAATATATTTTAATGTACTAATTCTATAATAATTGCATATGATATTATAATTATAACTAGAGATCATATTATTAAATTAATATCGACATATTATACAATATTAATATTAATTTTCATCTTAATTTACTCTCAACTTTAATTTTAATCTTAAATTTAACCTTAACTTTAATTTTAATATTAATTTTAATCTTAATATTTATCTTTAATGTACTAATCCTATAATAATTGCATATAATATTTTAATTATTACTAGAGATCATATTATTAAATTAATATCGACATATACATATATTTATTTATTAAAATTTTAATGTTATTGATTTCTAGTATTGTAATAGATATCGTTTGAAATATTCAAATATACGTATTGTGTGGGGAGAAAATATTTAGTTATATAAATATTTTTAAAATATTACCTATAGATATAGATATCGATACAGCATGAAAATATCTGAACAATTTAGTCACCGTTTAAGTATTTTTAATAAGAAAAGAAGAAACAGAAAGAGGAAAATAAGCTTTATAAACAAGTTTTATTTTAAATGAAATTACTATTTATATAGTACATACAAAAATGTTTACGTAATAAAATTATAATTGCACATACGTCACCGGCGATAGACTACCGTGTATTTTATAAAAAATGACATATTCTTGTTTTTTTATTTAAATCTTTAAAGTAGTTTGCTTGATCTTTATTCGAAATGTTTTTCAAAAATTATAGAATGAGAAGCCTTATAAATTTAGAATATTGCAGAATTATAAATGTGTATAACAGAAATAATTCTAAAAAAACATTTTGATTTTCTCAGTATTTCTGAAAAGTAGTGCAATTAAAAAAAACTGAGAAATTCTAAAAAGTTATAAAATTATACGGAAATTATGAAAAACAATTCTGAAATATTATAAAGAGTTTTAGGAAAAAATTTTACAGAGTGACTTACATGCATACATATTCGAAGATAGAAATAAAATATTCCACACTCAACTCTACATTAATTTACTATAAAAATTTCATTAATATCTTGTTATTTTCTTTTGTCAATTGTTTATCGTTATACGAATTATTTTATTTAGACAATATCAAATCTTATAGAACCGCGAGAATTCAAATCGATGCGATGAGAACATACCATAGCGATTTAAATTGGATCTCGGGTGCTTCTACTTATATAATTGTATATGTGTGTATTGTAATATGTGTGTGAATATTTTTATATACTACGTATGTAATTACGTATGTACGATTTTATTTTACTTAAGTTCTAGATTACGATCAAAAACGTAATCTAGAAGTGCAAGTGGTAGACGTACCCGTGATCGATAATCGCCTTTGTGAGCGATGGTATCGTTCCAATGGCATCAACGTCATTATTTATGACGAGATGATGTGTGCCGGTTACCGCAACGGCGGTAAGGATTCGTTTCAGGTAAGCGCTTTCATCATCATAGGTGCATACTGTTTGAACGATTCATCGTTCAAACAGTAAAAATTGTTTCATTTCCTTCTTCTTCTTCTCTCGTTTCTTCTTCGCTAACACGTTTTCTCAGGAGTACATTTTATTTTCAGGATGACAGCGGAGTTGGTCCAACATCCATTGATGTTGGAGAAAAATAGTCGATGGTATCTCATCAGTATTGTCTCCGCAGGTTACTGCGCACAGCCAGGTCAACGAGGGATCATTCATCGCGTTGCTAAGACTGTCGGTTGAATCACGTATGTTATAAACTCATAACAATTCTCCTCGTCCGAAGAAGAACAACTCCAAGGAGCAAAGTTTAGAGCCGCGAACTTTGTATAACACAAAGTTCGTGTATCCTTCATGTCACGGAATATGTTCAAGATCTAGATCGTATGTCTGAGAAATCATCTGTCTGAGAAATCATTCGTTTCGCGAATGATTAGTATGACAAATGTGACGAATTAAAAGGAGTTTAACAATAAAAATTGTTTCATTTCCTTCTTTTTCTTCTCTCGTTTCTTCTTCGTTAATACGTTTTCTCAGGAATACATTTTACTTTCAGAAGACCAGCGGAGTTGGTCCAACATCCATTGATGTTGGAGAAAAATGGTCGCTGGTATCTGATCGGAATTGTATCCGTAGGTTACTCTTGCGCACAGCCAGGGCAACCAGGGATTTATTATCGAGTGGCTAAAACAGTTGATTGGATTACGTATATTATAAACTCGTAACAATTCTCCTGGACCGAAGAAGAACAACTAGAAGAAAAGGTCTTGAGCCGCAAACTTTGTATGACACAAAGTTCGTGCATCCTTCATATCGAAGAATATGTTCAAGATCTAGATCACATGTCTGAGAAATTATTTGTTTCCCGAATGATTAGTCTGATAAATGTGACGAATGAAAAGGAGTTTAACGAGATGACTTCGAAAACTGACTTCGAGAGAACGGACCATGTCTAACGAAATTAAAGCCATTTTACTTTACGTGAATGTAAAAGTAATTTAGAGTGAAATCTATATTACGTTACGACGTAATATAGAGGTATCTATGGATATTGTCGTAAATCTGTATGTGTACATCATAGATATTGGGCGAGTTTTTTAATTCATCGATTGATCAATCGCATGATGCGCAAGTGCAACATGTTGCATCTACGCATCATGCAATTAATCAATCAATGAATTAAAAAACTCGCCCATTGTCGTAAATCTATATGTACGTCATAGATATTATCGTAATAAGGTATTTCGTGTTTACATAATTCGTGTTTACAACATTAGTTTATATTATTTTTTCAATTAATCTTAATTTTAATCTTAATAATAATATTAATTTTAATCTTAATATTAATCTTAACCTTAATCTTAACCTTAATTTTAATATTAATTTTAATAAACAATAAGTAGACAAGGGCGATATAAGAATCAAAAAAGATTTTTCTTCAAATATTAAACGTATAATTAGCAACTACTTTTGATAATTAACTTAAAAGACATTATTTAACACTAATTCGCCTTCGAACAAATATACTTAAAAATATGATAAATAATATATATATAAATAAGTAATAATATCATATTCTGTACATCGTTAACGATATCTTGCGATTTTTTAACATTGATAATGACTTAATAAAGGTCGAAACGTTTGTTTTTAAATTTTATTAAACTTTATATTTATTTTTAACTAATGACATTTTATATTTACTAAGACCTTTATATTTTAACGAATGTTGGCTCGTAGCCCTGTTTGTATTAATTATTATATAAATAAGTCTTGTTATAAGTTACAAGTGTAACGAGTTACTCCAATTCCCTGCTATGACGTACATACAGATTTACGACAATATCTACGACGTAATATAGATTTCACTCTAAATTACTTTTACATTCACGTAAAGTAAAATGGCTTTAATTTCGTTAGACATGGTCCGTTCTCTCGAAGTCAGTTTTCGAAGTCATCTCGTTAAACTCCTTTTCATTCACATTAAACTCCTTTTCATTCGTCACATTTGTTAGACTAATCATTCGGGAAACGAATGATTTCTTAGACATGTCATTTAGATCTTGAACATATTTTTCGATATGAAGGATGCACGAACTTTGTGTCATACAAAGTTCGCGGCTCAAGACCTTTTCTTCTAGTTGTTCTTCTTTGGTCCAGGAGAATTGTTACGAGTTTATAATATACGTAATCCAATCAACTGTTTTAGCAACTCGATGATAAATCCCTGGTTGACCTGGCTGTGCGCAGGAGTAACCTGCTGAGATAATACCGATGAGATACCATTGACTATTTTTTCTCCAACATCAACTTTAATAATTTTGTCCGTTATATTTTGTAATATGTCTGAGGAGGGCTCAATCCGAGAGAGCCGAAACTTGTATAACAACACTTATTTATATATATTATTTATCATATTTTTAAATATATTTGTTTGAAGGCGAATTAGTGTTAAATAATGTCTTTTAAGTTAAATATCAGAAATGGTTGCACGTTTCGCATATTTAAAGAAAAATCTTTTTTTTACTCTTATATTGCCCTTGTCTTCTTATTGTTTATTTTTATATGAAAAGTCCTTATTTCTTTTTATTAATTTGTTATTAATTTCAATCTTAATATTTTTCTAAAAATATATTTTAATGCACTAATCCTATAATAATTGCATATGATATTATAATTATAACTAGAGATCATATTATTAAATTAATATCGACATATTATACAATATTAATATTAGATTTAATCTTAATTTTAACCTTAATTTTAATCTTGATATTTATCTTAATACATTTTAATGTACTAATCCTTTAATAATTGCACATGATATTTTAATTATTACTAGAGGTCATATTATTAAATTAATATCGACATATTATCAGGAGACGGTAGTGTCTCTGGTCATGTAAAAAACTGAAAGACACTACCAGTCTCTCGAGCAATTAAAGTCCATTTTTGGGGGGTGCATAACTACTAAAAATATAAAATATTTTGAATCGAACGTTATATGTCCTGAAAGGTGGTGAGTAATTTGAACCAACAAAATTTTTAATCGATCAAGCCGTTCTGGAGATACAAGTGGTCGAAAAGTAGTGATTATAATGAAAAATTAAAAAACGTCTCTTCCTTTTCCTTCTCCTTCTCCTTCTTCTTTGTCCGCATTCAAGGCTATCTTAAAACTTTTTGACATCCTCTCTCACCTTTCACTCGCACCTCCACCATCTTCGACCCACC